AAACTAGCCGGCATTTAAAAATGGCACCGGCTGGCTTCATGCAAATGAAGCCCGGGAAATTCAAATCCCGGGCTTCATTTGCAACTCCGAATGACTACATTACCCCCCTAGTTCGAACTAGGGGGGTAGTGTAGACATACCCTCACTGGGGAGCCCCAGCCCGGAAAAGTACTTTTGCGGAAAAGCATCTGTGCCAATCTAGACGCACTTTTCCCCAAATGCTTTTAATGGAAAACCTTTTCCGTTAAAAGCATTTGCGGAAAATCATGCTAGTCTAGATGTAGCCATAGACTTTAGCCGAGAAGGTGGTGCTTTTGTAAATTAAGGGGCTGGGTTTCGTTAATAAAAAAAGCCTCTGCTGGACAATTGGAAACAGGGTGTTAGCTTTTGTTTTTGAGGGATTCCGGGGTGTGACTTGGGCTCAGACTAACCGCATGACAGGATACCCATAAGCAGGGAATGTGGGACTCACTATCTCTCTGTTGGTACAAAAAAGTAAGTTTGTGTGTCAGGATTGAGGCTCGGGGGATTTGGATTGTGGGAAAGGACTTAGGGTTGGGGCAGAGTTGGGGAACAGATGTGTAAGGGCTGGCTCTGGGGTAGGGCTGGGGATGAGAACTTCAGGGATGAGATAGAGGTTTGCAGTGTGGAGAGTTGAGGGCAGTGTTCCCTCTAAGGTTGAGGCCCACTCACTTCCAAAGCAGAGCCATGCTGTGAGTACTCAGCTGCTCCAGGGTGGGCCACGTGGCTGATAGCACTTGTTCTAGCGGCCCCAGACACGGAAAGGGCAAGAGTCATAGCGGGCACCTGCTACAGCAACCTGGCTGGAGCCAGAGCCACAGCTGTGTTGTGGGAGGGGCATGCTTTGACAGCCTTGACCAGGGCCTGAGCCACAGCAACACTAAAGGCAGTGGCTGCTTTCGTGGCCCCAGTCCAGAGCAACGTGGTGGTGGGGTCACTCCAGCAGCCAAGGCCAAACCCAGGGAGACGGGATGGTGAGGGACTAGGCTGTTCTAGAGTTGTGCTTAAAAGAAGCACCCAGGATCTTTTTCAGGGTGATAACGCAATACGCCACATTTATTGAACAATCGCTATTTATCATATGCATAGGATACATTACACTCATGCACACACACACACACACACAAGCACACTCCATCTTGTTACCAAAAGTTGCTTCCCCTAACTGCACTGGCTAGGTGAGTTAGATGGGGGAGGGGTGGAGCGGGGCTTCTGCTGATCCGGATCAATGCTTCCATGTTGACAAGACGAAAACCTAGGGTCCCTCTGCAAGATGCCTCCTATTTATCCCTCTCACGGAGCCAATTAGTCAGCATCTTGCCTTTCTTAATACTGCTTCAAAGAGAGTTCTTCCGAGAGCAGGCACTTGCTGCTTGACTTCCAAGGCATATGTATGTTCAGTCTTCTTAATGAACTCACTTTACAGGTAGACTACGTCTAGACTGGCATGATTTTCCAGAAATGCTTTTAACGGAAAAGTTTTCAGTTAAAAGCATTTTCGGAAAATAGTGTCTAGATTGGCACGGACGCTTTTCCGTAAAAGCACTTTTTGTGGAAAAGTGTCCGTGGCCAATATAGACGTGCTTTTGCGCAAATAAACCCCTGATCGCCATTTTCACAATCGGGGCTTTTTTGCGCAACACTGGCCCTTTTGCACAAAAGGGACTTTTGCCTGAACGGGAGCAGCATAGTATTTCCGCAAAAAGCACTGATTTCTTACAGTAGGAAGTCAGTGCTTTTGCGGAAATTCAAGTGGTCAGTGTAGACAGCTGGCAAGTTTTTCTGGAAAAGCGGCTGATTTTCTGGAAAAACAGGCCAGTCTAGACACAGCCGTATTGTCCTGGATCTGGCTCCCAGACCTTCTCCAACCTGGAAACTGCTGCTGGAGGTGCTCCCTTTTCATTCTCCTTTCACACCTTATTCATTTCAACAGGACAGTCAAGGAAAGGGGAGAGCTCAAGACATTTTTTTTCTTACAAGGAAAGTTTCTCTTAATACAAAGTTCTAGGAGAAATGTTAGAGATTCTATAAAAACACTTAAAGATAGATCTAAAAGGACAAGATCTTAATACAAAGTTATATGAGAGTGATAATATTACAGGGATTTCTCCACACTAGTGACCAAGGTCTTGTGGTGAGGACGTCTGGTTCCAGCTCCACCTCACTAAAGCGCTCCACTTTGGGATCTCAAAAGGTAAATCTGCAGGTTATCGGAGGGATTAAGTAGATGGCAAATGACTAAAGAAATGTTCTGTGTCCTGTTCATCTTTAAGAGCCCAAACCATGGCAAGGAGAACAATTCTCTCTGATCCTCTATAGTGTTGTCACTTATAAAGGCATCAATCATGTCAATAGTGTTAATTGTGCCAATGACCAGAGCTCGACAAATAGTGTGATCTACTCACCTGTGGTGAGTAGATTACACCCCCGGACAAATAGTGTAATCGACTTGCCCGTGGCGAGTTGATTACATCCCTGGAAGAGCCGGAGAACAATCTGCACATGTGCAGAGCGCAGAACCACGCAGCTGGCGAGCAGAGCTCGCCGCCCTTTGGCAAGTCCTGCCAATGACAATTGTCTCCCTGTGGAAGTTATTTCTCTCAATCTCACTCTCTCACACACGCACTGTGTAGAAGCAACTACAACTTTCTTAATGGATGTTGATTATTTTCTGTTCATGCTAAATCAATATGCAACTGATGATGACATATTAAAGGGACTTTTCTATGATTCACAGGGGTCTAAAGTATGCAGATACAACAAGAAATAATCTAATTATTGGGTATACGTCCTATATACAGTGTAGTCATGTGGACTGAAGAAAAAGAGCTGGATGAAATTTTCTGGTGATATCCCTTAAATCAGGGGTTCCCAAACTTTTTGACACAGGGACCAGTAAATCCAGTCATGACCTTTTGGAGGACCAGTAACATTCATCTGCATATTCATTAAGCAAATGATGAATATTCAAGTAAGTTGTTTCTGGTCCTCCCAAAGCCCCCGTGCCAGCGTTAGCAAAGTTTTTGATACAGTCACCCACAATATTCTTGCCAGCAAGTTAAGGGAATATGGATTGGATAAATGGACTGTAAGATGGAGAGAAAGCTGGCTAGATTAGGGTTTCCAAACTTTTAGTTGGAACCCGGTTTTTTTAGTAGTTTTTTTGCAGCCCAAAAATATAAACACATATTTAAAAAAAAGAATGAAAAACAAATTAATTTTCAGTTTTCACACGGCTGCATCCTCCACCCAACCTGGGCCAGGGCTTGGGGGACCCAGCCCTGTGTGGGCACTCCAGGAGATGGGAGCAGGATCAGACTGGGGGTAGGATAGCTGTCTAGAAGCTAAGGAAGGGTAGGATTGCCAGGGGTCCGTTTTTGTACCAGACAATCTGATATTTGAGGGTTTTGTCTGAGAAACAAATTGAGAAATTACCAGACATAGAAAATGTCAAATATTTTCTAATTAGGTAAGTTTTATTATAATTCCGTGCAAATTTATTATAGTCCTTTGCTGTGAACTGCCTGGATAGCAGATGTGCTCACGCTGCCTGAGTGTGTCTATCTGGCAGGCTGTTCGCAACTACTCGAGGGAAGGTATGTGGAGGGGAGGAGCGGGGGAAAAATGGAATCCCCAAGCAGACTCACTCCTCTGCCAGAATCTGTAGGGTCTGCATGTGCCCAGGTCAGTCCTGCCCCCCCTCCTCCCAATCTCTCAGTCAAGTCCAGCTGCCCCCGGTCCAGCCCTGCTTCTTGCAGCTGGTTCTCCATCCTCTTCCTCCTGTTCTCCCCTGGCCAGTCTCCCCGCTCCCCATCCTTCCCTGGTTCCACCGCCTGCCCTCCCCGACTTCTGCTGAACAGCCCCACTGCCTCCAACCCCGCTTCTGCCACCTGCCAGCCTGCCTTGGGGGTGTTATCCCAAAGATGGACGGGACTGACATGTAGGTCACTGAAAGGCTACATTGAGGAGAGAAGAATCCCATGAGCTCTCACTCCCCCAGTTTAGGTGCTACTGTGAAGGGGGAGAAGGAAGATACACCTCTCCCTGCCACGGCAGGTCTGGGGCTGGGACCGTGGGATAGCCAACTGTCCTCTGGCCACAGCAGGTGTGGGCCGAAGTTGAGGCCAGTGGGTAGAGGTATATCTCCTCACCAAAGCCCTATAAGACTGCATGGCATTTAATAGACTGTATCATAGCCAACTGGCCAGGCAGTTTGAAGAGAACTCAGGTTATAGGTTTCTCCCCTCTGTGGGTCCTCCAAAGGCTAACAAGATTTGAGCTCTGACTGAAGCTTTCCCCACAGAGCAACTGAAGGGTTTTCTCCTCCCCACAGTCAGAGCAACTGAAGGGTTTTCTTCCCTCTGTGGGTTGTCTTATATTTAACAAAGTCTGACCTGTTTGCAGAAAAGGCTTCAATCAGAGCTGTTACAAGGTGACTCACTTGTATGGATTATCTGATGGCTAGTAACGCAGGAGCACTGACTGAAGCTTTTCCCACAGTCAGAGCAATTGAAAGGTTTCTCTCCTGTGTGGGTCCGTCTATGCTTAACAAGGTTTGACTTCTGCTTGAAGCTTTTCTTGCAGACAGAGCAGCTGAAGGGTTTCTCTCCTGTGTGGTTCATCCTATGTCTAACAAGGTGTGAGCTGCTACTGAAGTTTTCCCCACAGTCAGAGCAATTGAAACGTTTCTTTGTGTGGATCCTCTTATGGGTAACAAGGTTTGACTTCCGACTGAAGCTTTTCCCACAGTCAGAGCAATTGAAAGGTTTCTCTCCTGTGTGGCTCCTCCTATGGGCAACATAGTCTGAGCTGCTAATGAAGCTTTTCCTGCAGTCAGAGCAACTGAAGGGTTTCTCTCCTGTGTGGTTCATCCTATGTCTAACAAGGTCTGAGCTCCTACTGAAGTTTTTCTCACAGTCAGAGCAATGGAAAGGTTTCTCTCCTGTGTGTCTCCTCCTATGTCTAACAAGGTTTGAGCTCTTCCTGAAGCTTTTCCCACAGTCAGAGCAACTGAAAAGTCTCTCTCTTATGTGGATCCTCCTATGGGCAACAAAGTCTAAACTTCTATTGAAGTCTTTCCCACAGTCAGAGCAACTGAAAGGTTTCTTTCTTGTGTGGGTCCTCTTATGGGTAACAAGGTTTGACTTCCGACTGAAACTTTTCCCACAGTCAGAGCAATTGAAAGGTTTCTCTCCTGTGTGGGTCCTCCTGTGTTTAACAAGATGTGGATTTTGACGGAAGCTTTTCCCGCAGTCAGAGCAATTGAAAGGTTTCTCTCCTGTGTGGGTCCTCCTGTGTTTAACAAGATGTGGATTTTGACGGAAGCTTTTCCCGCAGTCAGAGCAATTGAAAGGTTTCTCTCCTGTGTGGGTCCTCCTATGGTTAACAAGGTTTGACTTCTGCCTGAAGCTTTTCTTGCAGTCAGAGCAGCTGAAGGGTTTCCCTTCTGTATGGTTCATCCTATGTCTAACAAGGTGTGAGCTGCTACTGAAGTTTTTCCCACAGACAGAGCAATTGAAAGGTTTCTCTCCTGTGTGGGTCCTCCTATGGTTAACAAGGTTTGACTTCTGCCTGAAGCTTTTCTTGCAGTCAGAGCAGCTGAAGGGTTTCCCTTCTGTATGGTTCATCCTATGTCTAACAAGGTGTGAGCTACTACTGAAGCTTTTCCCACAGTCAGAGCAGTTATGGGGTATATCTTTTGTATGTACTATCTGATGGTTTGTAAAGTGTGAGTGCTGACTGAGGCTTTTCCTCTTCTCTTCTGTGTGGGCTCTTTGATGTTCAATAAGAGTTTCACAGTCACTACAAGTGCAGGGTGACTGTTGATGGGGGATTTTCTGTTGAATGGTTTCTGTGTTTTTCTCCCCTCTGCTCCTGTGACTGGAGTTACCCTGTCCCTCTCCTGGATGGTTTCCCTGCTGCCTTTCTGGGCTATGCTGTCTCTCACAGCTTTCTCCTTGCTCATCTATCTGGGAAACATGCTCTTCAGATCTTCCCAATAACCTCCCACATGGAGCCACTTGTTCCAGTCCTTCCTGCTCAAGACACTTCTCATGGTTCTCAGTCAGTGTCCCATCGTCTGCTGGGATAGAGAAAGAATCCAGACAGGAGTTAGTTTCCATGATGAGCTGAAAGGAAACTCTGAAAGAGGAATAGAAAAGGGGTCACACACTCAAATAATGGTCAAATTATCGTGAGCTGAGTTCATCCTCCTCCTCCTCAACTCTTCCACAGAGGAGAGAACCCAGCCTTTCCCCACCCACCACACTCTTGACTCGAGTTGAAGACAGGCTGAATAATCTGTTAGACTTCATGAAAACACACAAATTACACCTGCTATAAGGTGACAGATATTGGTTTCTGAGTCAGTTTAACTGATTGCTCACCTGTGTGGGTGTTGCTGATGATCACTCCTTCCTCACAACTCCGGGGATCTGGAACCCAGAACTCCTCCTCTCGCTCTACCCAGGAGATCACATCAGTTTTGGAGACTGGAAATCCTGTTTGGAGTTCAATGAACCAAGTGCTGATTTTGTTCATTAAGGTCTGTGCCATTACTGCATCCAGAGGATCTGAGTCACCCACCCAGAGAGGCTCCTTTCCCCACCTTGCAGAGACTAGGATCTGGCTAGTACAAGATCCCAGGATACACTGACCTGCAGTAAAGGTGCATCATCCTCCCCCTCCCTCCCCCCAGCCTTGGGAATGGCCCAGCTCATTCCCCAGGGGAGCTGAGTGCACTGCTGAACTCTCTAGGGTACAACTCAGTCCCCCTCACAGCCCATTCCAACTCCCTGGAATCCCAGGGCTAGATAGGAGCACACTGCTCGGAAGGGGAGTGCTAGTAAGGGCTTGCAGGTCTGAAACTAAGGTCCCCAGGCAGGGCTCAGATTGCAGCTGCCACATGGCAGGTCACTAGGACTTGGAGAGGAAGGACCCAGCAGAGCTCTAGCTCCCCAAGCCTCTGTCCAAAAAACTCCTGGCTGGTGGGCTGGGCTGGCCCTGATCTTTGGCTCAGATGCTCTACTTGGGCCAGAAGGAGGCAGAAGAAGTTGCCTGAGCATCTATGTGAATCCTTGGCTGGTTGCTTCAGGTCCTGCCTATGCTTCACACTCCTGATCTCAATTGCCTGTGTCTGGGGGGGGCCCGCCAGATGCCCACAACAGATGCCGTTTCCATGGCTGCCCAGGGGGGCGCTGGGCTTCTCTCAGGGGAAGCCAGTGCAGAGATAGGCCATGCTGCTTCTCTGGTGCTTGTAGCTGTTGCTCAGCTCCCCTTATGCAGCCTCCGTTCTACTCTGCCAGCAGCAGCCTTTGTGTAGTTTCCCAGTCTGGCTCTTCTGGCCAGCCTGGCCTTTGATTTGGTGCCCCTCCAGGATTGCACAGAATCTATCACCTTCACACCTTGTGAGTACGTTTCCGCCAGCCCAGTGCTCTGCTACACTCTAGGGTACAACTCAGTCCCCCTCCCAGCCCCGTTCCAACCCCCTGGCATATCAGGGCAGGACAGGAACACACTGCTCAGAAGGGGAGCTCTAGGGAGGGCTGGCAGGTCTGACACCAAGGCCCCAAGGCAGGGCTCAGACTGTAGTGGTCACATGGCAGGTCTCTAGGACTTGGAGAGGAAGAACCCAGCAGACCTCAAAGCCTGCTAAGGGCTCTGCCCACAAAGGCTGGGGGACTTCTGTCTGGGGGCTCTTTGGCTCAGATGTTCTACTTCGGCAAAAAGGAGGCAGAGGCAGTTGCCTGAGCAGCTAAGTGAATCCTTGGCAGGCTGTTTCAGGCCCTACCTATGTGCCACACTCCTGATCCCAACTGCCTGCGTCTGGGTGGGCCCTGCTAGCTACCCATAACAGCTGCCATTCCCTCGGCTGCCCAGAGTGGTGCTGGGCTACTCCAGGGACCATCCAGTGCGGAGCTGGGCCGTGCTGCTTCTCTGCTGCTTCTGGGTGTTGCTCGGCTCCCCCTCTGTAGCCTCCGTTCTACTCTGCCAGCAGCAGCTTTTGTGTGGTATCCGAGTCTGCCTCTTGTGGCGAGCCTGGCCTTTGATTTGGTGACCCCCCAGGGTGGCACAGAATCTATCACCTTTACACCTTGTGAGCGTGTTCCCCTCAGCTTCAGCCGCACCCTTTCTCGCACCTTCATTTAGTGTTCAGAAGATCAACCTGTGACATGACCATGGAGATCACTGCGCTACCGCTGTTCCACAACTGCAAGAAACCTTGTGCGAAGTGTGCTGAGTGCCATGTCAACGGGAACGTTCTGATGTGATGACTATGATTACCTTGTTTATGTCCATTATTTTTGAACTAGAACAGTATGGTGGGGCAGTGGGTACTAACTAACCAGGAAAACATGTTCCTGAGCCGGAGGCGGCCAATCAACACACAGATCTCCGCAGTAATGGCAAATACACAGTCCTAAGAGATGGCTCAGAAAGACACTAACCTTTGAACACAAGAGCAGGATGAGGGGATAATGGATACGGATGTTTTGTTCAAAGAAACAGGAAGGAGGCTAAAGGGTAGAACACATGGAACGCAACATGCATCTTGTTTGTGTCAATGTATGAGAGGAGAAGTCACAGGAGCGGCATGCTGATGCTGGCTGGGGGCAGTATTCTGACTGCTGACTGAGCTGGTACCGTTATTGGGTTGGGACAAGTCTCACTATACCTGTGTCTGGAGCTGGGACACTAATTTTCACCATAAACTTGGCCGAGTGCCTTAGCCTCCAAATGGAGCCTGAGTCTTTCTTAGCAGCAACCCTGAGCTGTGCTGCATGGATAAACCGCAGGCTCTCCCAGTGCCGTTGGCATCAGTCCTCCAGAAAGAGCCACCCTGAACAGTCGTAACAACGCTCTGTGGCACTAGCAGCAATTCATATGGCACTGCAGTCGCTACAGAAAGCAAAATTAACAATCACAGCAGCACCTGGGAACTCTGGTGTAAATCAGGACCCCACTGTGCTATCTGGGTGCTCATATGGAGCTAAGCATCACCCCTCTTTAGTGTTGGTATCCTTCCCAGCCCTGAGAAACAGGGACACCCTATAATAGCTATTGCAGAGAAAGGCGACCACTATTACAGACAGTCTAAGGGACTTGATCAAGGTCACATAGGAAGACTGTGACGGGCAGAGAACTGAACACAGGTCTCCTGAGCATGAAGCCAGACATTCACACGGGAAGAAAAAGTCCCTACCCGAAGATATTTCACTCTAAAAAGACAACACAGATGACGTGATTTATCTCCACTGCACAGAGAGGCAAGTGAGCCCCAGAGAATGAAGCTGAAGTTTTGAAAGGAAACCCAACCTGTGCCTGAAACACAAGGAGAGCTCTGCTCACGTTTCTCTACTACCCCGAGAAAACACTCGCAGAGCGTGAACTGCCTCATCCATAGTCGCTCAGCTTCAGCACCCAGCCCCTCTCACTGGCAAAAACCAGCATGTCAGAGATTACCCACAGGCAGGGAAAGACTCTGGAAACCGCACCCTCCTTCCAGTGGCTCAGCCCACTGTCAGAAGGGGACCCTGCAGCCACTAACTGCAGCCAGACCCAGACGCACAACTCTGGTACCTGCCGTTCCTGCCTGAGCCCTTCCGCTCACACCTCCGGCCAAAGCACAACATGGGCAAGATGGTGGGAAGCCCATTGAAACCTTGGCTGTCGGAAGAGGAG